CGTGGAAGAAAAAGAATTACTTCATTAAAAGGATTTTTATCACAGCTTTTTCTTTACAAAATAAAACAAAACAAGCTGTCACATAACTTTGAAGCTTACCATAAGGAGGAATTCAGTGAATGCACTGATCCTCAGCCAGTATGAAATCCTCAACACCAAAAGAACATACAGCAATTTGCTTCCACAGGGACCCATCTGTGAATGGTAACAACCACACAGAAAATGGAAGTGTTTTGCTTTACAAAAGATGTAAGAGCCTCCCTTAGGAACCTGAGTTTTTTTACCCTTTGCCCTAAGGAGTGCGGGCTTGAGATGTAAGTCCTCAGTCCACGGTTGCTCTCGGAAATTCTCAGATTTCCTCTGAGACTCAAAGTGCTTGTTCCGGCTTTGTTTAGCTTTGTGACTTCCAGCCTGGCTTCCTGCCATGATCTTTACTTGGAACCGATATGTAGCATTCGTTTTGCAGTGCTTTGCATCTACTTTAGTAGTCTATTTTTCATTACAGTACCATAAAGTGGCACATTCCTGTTCACTCAGTGTTAATGTGCTTGGCACAGCTGGCACAGAGGGGCACAACATTTATAAATGTATGAGCTTGGAGCTTAATAGGTTTGCTACATCAGTGCCAGGAGACCTAAATTCTAGTTTTATTGCTACAGGTTCATGGGTCAACTATGCCTGGAAAGTCAATTAACTTCTCTATACCTTCGAACTGAGAGTTGCTAGAAATGACAGTGTTTTAGGAGGAGAAGGGCAGTCAGGTTGCAACGAAGAAGTATTTCTATGAAATAATTTGAGTAAATTGTCTACAGAGATCTCAGAAGAAAGGGACCTAATCTCTAAGGTTCCAGTAATTTGTTGTGATTTGTTTCTCATTCCAAATGTCTTTTCATTTCTAATTTTGTTTGTAATTTTGTATTCTTTTTCTTAAAAAGGATTGCCAAAGAACCACAAAGCCCAGATTCTCCTCATTCTTAAAATGAATTTGCATTTCAGCCAAGGTGTCTATTCATTGCCAACAAAGCTGCTGTGTTCACAAAGCAGCTTTTCTTAAACTGTTCCCTCTCTTTGAGGCAATGAGGTGAGGACGGTGGTAGGAAGGAAGGAAGAGACAGAGCACATTCTACACAGAGGAACAGTGAGCGCGACCAGTCAGAGACAGGAAAGAGCTTGTTTGCATAAGCACACAGAGGCCAGTACAGTAACAGGATGTGAGAGTGGAGAGGGCGTGGTATCAGATGAGGCAGAGGCTAAGTAGACTGGAAAAACCTTGGATTTTACTCTCGCCACTGAAGCTGGAGAGTGGTTAAGATAGAGGCAGGACAAGAGTGAAATCAGGGAGACAAATTGCACTGGTGCAGCTGTTTGGGTAAGAAAGGTGGTGGCTTGGACCGGAGTGGCAACAGCAGAGATGGGAGGTGAACACATTGATACGTATTTTGCAGGTAGTGATGACAGGGCTTGCTGATGAGTAAGAGTAGCTCTGATAGGAGGGAAGAAAAGAAGGGGATCAAGGATGATTCATTGGTTTGAGCAACTGGGTAGACAGGGTCCCATCAGCTGAGAGGAATTATACTGTTGGAAAGAGTGTTTTAGACTAGTTGAGGCTGAGATGCTTGTCATACTCCCAGGGACAGAGTCAAGGAAGAGCCTGGCTATCCAGAGTGTGCAGGAGAGGTTACACTGCAAACAAAACTTTGGGAGTCATAAGCATATAGATGGTTTTCAAAACGATGGGAATGGGTGAGAACACAGAAGAAGAGAGTAGAGAGGAGGTGGAGGAGGAGAGAAAAAAAGAGAAGAGAGTAGAGACAGAAAAAGGGAAGAGGGCCTAAGGTGGGACAATGGAGAGGCCAGAAGCAGGAAGCCAGGAAAGGGCAGTCCTGTGGACGCCAACGAGGAAGAGTGTCTCAGAAAGGCAGGAAGGGCCAGCAAGGCCAGGTGCCACTGAGATGCTCAACAGGACAAGGACAAAAAGTGACCTTTGGGTTTGGGTCTACATTTGGAATTCAGTAGACACCAAGCTGGATAAAAGGAATTTCAGTATACTCATAGAACTAAAAATCAGACTGGAGTGAGTTAATGAGGAATTGGAAACATAGAACAGCGACAGACCTGAAAGCATTATAGAAATTAAATCAGTTGTTAAAAATCTATACTCTTTCCAGCAATAAACAAAAAACATCAGTTTTTATCTAGGTTCCACTCTCCCCAGCAACAAACAAAAAACACTATTTTTTACCTAGGTTCCTTTAAGACAGAGATACTTCCTCGATTTTATATAAACCGTTCTGGAGAATAGAAAAGAAGATAAAGATCCACAATTTACTTGACGAGGCTGTTATGACCTCATCATGTTTGGTCATTCTAACCAAAATCAGACAGGGATTTTATGTGAAAGAAAAACCGTAAGCCAGTCTCATTTCAGTTTGCAGATGGGGACATTCTAAAAAATTAGCCAAGGAATCCAATAATGTAGGAAAAAATAACACATCATGACCAGGAGGCAAAGATAGTTTAACATTAGAAAAATGTAGTGTTATCTCAATAGATTCAAAACAAACATTTGATGAAATTCAAAATATACACATTCATGATTATAAAACAACTCTTAGTAAACTGAGAATAGAAAAATTCTTCCTTTTGCCAATGCAGGATAACTACCCAAATCTATAATAAGTAGAATACTTAATGGTGAAAAATTAGAAGCATTCTCTTTGAAGTCAGAAACAAGACAAGGATATCCACTGTCACTGCTCCTATTCTGTAATAAAACAAAGACAAGAAAAAGTAACAAAATTATAAAAATATAAAAATAGAAGCAATACCATTATTCACTAAAAATATGATTATATACACAAAAAAAATCCAAGGGAATCAAAACAAACTATTGTAATTAATGTCAGAAAGGCTGCCGGAACACATTCTCAAAATACTAAAAATCAGTGGTATTCCTGTATACCCGCCACAAAAAATTAACTATTACAATAAAAAAATTTATAACAGTAACCAAAACTGTAAGCTAATAAGACTAAATATAGGTGATGCATAGGCCTTTAGGTAGAAAATCATAAACTTCACAGAGGTATGTTTTAAAAAAGCAAGCGATATAATATGTTCATAGTTAGGAAGACCCAATGTCATAAAGCTGTGACATCACTCGAAGACTCACAAGTCAAGAAAAGCCAAGAGTTTTGAAGAGCAACCTTACGCAGGAGCTTTTCTCTACCAGATTTTCAAGAAAGTTGGAGGCATTTTCCTTTTCCTTCCTATGAAGGAACATGGCTTAGGAGTTAACACCCTTGGCTCTTTCCATCCTCTCACTCTCTCAGAGGAGGACAAACCTTTCTCATTGGTGAATTTGGAGGGCAAAATAGCATCTGTGTATTCTTGGCTCAGCCTTATCTGGGCTCCTGCAGAGAAGTCACTTGATCACTCTCTGACAATGTGGTAAAGGGCCTGCCTCTGTAGGGAAAACCTGTCGCTCTCTAGTTCACATTGTGATTATGAGGATAAGTTTAATTTTGAGTGATACTTTGCAAGCCCGTTTTATTACAGGTCTAAAGCCCCATTTTCCAAGCTGCGTTATCAATAGTAAAATGAACATTTTGATTTTTAGTTCATCCTCAAATCTCAAAAAGACTTTTAGAAATTACATCTTACAATAATTAAAAATGATACTAAGTGATGGATAGTCAAATAAAGGAACAGAACAGAACAGGGAGTCTGGAAATGGATCTATGTGGATAAGCAAACTTGGTTTACAAAAGAGATGCCATTATCATCAGTGGAGAAAAGACAGACACTTCAATAAATGGTACAGCGACAGTCTGCTATCTGTACTGAGCAAGATTCATTCAGTGTGATTAATTAGCGTTGCGGGTTGCCACTTTTCTCATCATTTTAGGTTATTTGCCATTGTGTTAGAAAACCTCTCCATGAATTCTATGCCTTGTTTCCAACTGGACCATAAATCTCTTGGGGACAGAGCTTGAGCCTTCTTGTTTCTCTCCAGAGCGCCTATCACAGAGCTTTACACAGAGCCTAAATAAATGCCTGCCAGCTCACTTTTATTATTCTTATGACTTTATATTAAAACTTAATTCCTCTCTCATATTCCTGAAGGCAGCCGGGTCCATATCCACACCAAGCTTTAATAATTATTTTGATGCTTTGAATGGAATTCTTTAAACAGTTGTGTATTTGCTTAACAGGAGTCCTATCTAAGACCTGACATCTGGAACTTGCCATTTTGAAAATCATATGGGACAAAAATACAAAACATCAAAGTGAAGACCAACCACAGATTTTTTACTTTTCTGAAGCCACAGCAGAGGAAATCAAATTTCAGAGAGGTAGAATTTCAGATCTACACAGCAGATGATGAGAAAAATACCTGGAATCAGAAGCTAGTGCTGCCCCCAGCTGCCTAACTCTAAAGGCATGTGATTTTGTAAGTTATGGCCCACTACCCAAGGATTCAAACTTCAAGAATTACTAAATGGATACAGCCAACAGCTTTCCATTTAAGTCAAGTGAATGAATCTAACGTCTTCTTTGTATCAGACTTCCCTGTCCCCTTCTCTTTTTAAAAGGTCCATGTCTATCCTGACGGAGCACCCTCAGCAGCAGCTTGCCCTCACGGTTAAACAGGTACGGACACCAAATACAAGGAACACTTTAGAATGTACCTCCTGGTCTCAGACTAAGTCCTGATCCCCCAATCTATTCCTTATTTGCTTTCTTCCCTTCATGCTCACAGCCACGGATCCTGATGCTCATTCTATAAACAGGCCCTTCGCTTGTTCTTTGGAAAGCTCCGAGGGGCTCTGGGTCTCCCTTACCGTGAATCATACAGGCTGTCTTCAGTTTATCTCTCCAGCAATGCCCTCAAGGGCTCCTTGCTCAGCCAACTTCCCAAAGTTCAAGTAACATTCCCTCGACCCCTCCTCATTTCAAGGGGACTTCATCCTCCTTAGCCAGATGGGAGCTTAGATCTACCCAAGTGTGATGGCGCCTTTCGTTTTCCTCAGATATCTCATTCCAGAAGAAAACTCTGAGGCAGGTGTGGAGCAATGTGGAAGGCAGAAAAGATTTTCAGGATCATTATCCACATGACAGTTCCTGGTTATCAGAGGGAGAGGTACTCACCACCTGACCATGAGTCCATGTTCCATGAAGTTTTTCAGGTTGGGAAGGGTTTGCCGCAAGTCTGGAGTCCCTAGTCCATGCTGATATCTTAGCTGGGAAGGTGAAAAAACAGAATTAAAGATCTTTTGCAGGTTGTAAGCTTCCGAAAAATGAACCACTAAACAAGAGGAAATGTAAATGTATGATACTATTATCGGCCTCACAGTACTATCCACTTACTGGGTATTAGACGTATGGCATGTGTATGAATACGCACACTCACTTAAATTACGATGGTATTTATTGTAGCCTCGTCATCTACTTACTGTTCTCTTGCCCCCTAAACTTAGAGAAGACTAACAGTGACCAACTGTGGAATCAGGATATTTCAAAGACCGCTGTATCTAGCCTTTTTTTCTACTCCCAGACCTGTGGTAGGGTTTGCTAACTAACACCAACTCCAAGGACATATACCAGAAAACCAGTGTTTCTTTTTAGATACTGCCAGCCTCCCTTCTTTCACCAGCCCTTTCCTTTGCATAAACAAGGGTAAGGACCATCCTGCATTCATCTCTGACTCCAACAGTGTCTGGCATAGTGCTAGTACTTAGTCAATGCTCATTAAACAAATAAACTGCGAGTCACTTTTGACAGAGGCTGTGTTCTGTATTTCTCTTGAGTCTCTAATGTTCCTCTTTGTCCAGACAACAGCACATAGCTGCAGAGGTGATATAGGGAAACTTCTGGCTTGTGGGCTAGATTTGTCCTTTGACATATTTCTGCTAGAGGTCAATTTTCTAAAATGAAGTGTCTTTCTGAGTACTTTGGATAACTTGCTCATGGTTTTTATCTGTCTGCCCTTCACTTCCTTTCACTGTGTCTCTGAGTATCACCATTTGCTTCCCTAACTGACCATAATGGAGATTGTGGATGTGCATATTCACACACATGCTCATCCACACATCAAACACACAGTAAGTATACAACACAGCTCTGCAAAAATGTTTTTCAAATGACATATTACACATCAAGAGAGTTTACAGACTTTATAAAATGTATGCTGGTGTACAAATGTGAAGGGGTGTCAGTCTTAAGGTTTAACCCTTTCAGCACCTAAATTTAAGAGTGGATAAGTCAAACTTAAAAATATCCCTCTCTTAAAAAATAAAACCACAAATCATGTGAATGGAAAGCAGGCCTTCAGAGTTAGACAACAGGGGGCATAAACAAAGACCTACTAAAAACAATTTTCTTTTGTTTTTAGTATTTTTGTTTCAGTATTCCACTGATTTTTCTCTGCTTGGGTGACACTGAGAGAAAGAGTTAACACTCACTGATTCTGGGCTTTTTAAGAAAAACCTCCAAACCTAACAGGGTCTCCTGAATGGTTTCAACGGATACACACATAAAGTAAGGAGGTAGAAGCATACAATGTTAAAACTAAACGGTATCTTGAATATTATTTCAGCCAATCCTTTTCTTTTACAGATGAGAAAACTGAAGCCCAGAAAGGGGAAGTAAATGATCCGGGTCCACATGGTTCAATGGCAAAGATCTGATCAGCCAGGGCCTCCTTTTCACAAACCATGCTACTCTACCATCTACCCCAAAGTCTGAGAAGAAAATTGGTAACAATACTTGAGAAAGCAGAAGGAAAATATTCTTTTCGTTTTTCAAACTTAGCTTGGTTGACTTAAATCACCTCCTGAGATTTGCTGACCTTGAATTATAAGATCTACCCCATATTAAATGACATCATTTCTTATATTAATATAAATGCATTTTCCCAAACATTGATAAAAGCAAAATGGCTGATATCCCAACACGACATTCCTGAATTCATTGTTTCAATAAGAAGTGAAATTGTTTACACATGGCATGGAAATTTTACCTGTGATTCATACTGAAAAATATTAAACATCAAGAAAAAAAATACATACTGAAATAACACTAAGATATGCATCTCTGACTGCATACACAGACAATTGTCTGCCCCAGGTTCCACAATGGAAGATGGGTGTTGAACTCAGAGACCACAGTGAAAATTTCTCTCCAAGTCGGATTTTAACAAAGAAAGAAAAACGTGGGAATTAAGCCTCCACCTGGGTCTTAACTCTCCATTTGCTGCATAGCACTATTATTTTTTAAATTACAGAATCTTTGGTTTTTATAGCTTAAAGAGACCCTGGAGATCATCTTTCTAACCTTCCTCCTCTTATAAATGAAGAAACTAAGGTTCGGGAAGACAAGAGTGTCCTGCCCAAAGTCACAGAGACAATAAGCGACAAAGCCAAGGCTAGAGCCTCTTCATAACAGTTCCAAGTTCTACCATATTACCCTTTTAATTTTCCACATAGATAACTAGAAAATAAATGCATACATAACACATATATTATCATTAATAAAGTATAAGTACTGTTTAACAAGTCTAAACCACAATAAAGGATTTATAAAAAAAAAAAAAAAAAAAAAAAAAAAAAAAACAGCAGCTCTCTGCTCTACTATCTACCCCAAAGTCTGAGAATACTTTTTAGCTGTTTCTTCTTTACCTTCAATATTTCTAAATACCATGCATATATTAAGATTTCTTGTTCTCCCTTCCCCTCCAGTTACAGACATCATCTACTATGCTCCCACCACGAAGGATGAGAATTTGGCACTCTTACACCACTTTGCTCTCACACAGACATTTTATTCTCTTTTCCATACATTGTCTACTGGCTTTTCATTAAAGAATATGAAAACCTGGCCGGGCGCGGTGGCTCTTGACTCTACCCTCCCACCCGTAGTTCCCTCCCCCATCTTCTCAATACAGTCCATATCACATTTTAAATTACATTAATATTTAGTGTTTACCTCATTATATCTACATAAATAGTGTTCTCTGCTGAGCCATATGATGTACTGTTCCTTTATTGGACTTTTTCGTTTGTTTTACTGGAAGTGATAACTGCCATCTTTTCCACCAGTGGAGCTTTTCTATATATCTGTCACTACATACTCCCCAAATTCTGGCAAAAGCATTAAAACTGGCTGGGCACAGTGGCTCATGCCTGTAATCCCAGCGCTTTGGGAAGTCGAGGCAGGTGGAGTTTGAGAGCAGTCTGGGCAACATGATGAAACACTGTCTCTACCAAAAGTACAAAAAATTAGCCAAGCATGGTGGTATATGCCTGTGGTACCAGCTACTCAGGAGGCTGAGGTGGGAGGATCGCTTGAGTCTGGGAGGTTGAGGCTGCAGTGAGCTGAGATTGTGCCACTGCACTCCAGCCAGGGTAGTAAGAGTGAGACCCTGTCTTAAAATAAAATAAAATAAAATAAAATACTTTAAAACTCTTCTCAATCGAACTAAACACATCATGTAATTGATCAAGTCCATTTTGCTCTTAGAAATATATTTCCTGAAGCTTCCTTTCTCTGCTTCAACCTGAACTGGCTGCTAGCTAGGCCTGCTGCATTATCTTCTTACAAGTTTCCTTCTCCATCATGCTGGAAATTTTATTTACTTTTCTCCTGTGCTGAAGCTGTTGGTTCCCAAATTGTCTTCTTTCCTGATCTACTGCCTCATCTTGGTGGAGTGTATCCTATAATATCTTTCTGGGAAAGGATAGCATGGAAGATAACTTTATGACACCTTGAATGTTTGAAAATATAATTATTCCACTCTTACACTTGAATGATAGTTTGCCTAGGTATAGAATTCAAAGCTGGAAATAATTTTTCTTAGGTATTTCCAAAGTATTTCTTTACTGTCATTTAGCTTTGCACGTGGCAACTGAGAAACTTGATAACATTCTGGTTCCTGATTTTTTTTTTTTTGAGACAGAGTTTCACTCATGTTACCCAGGCTGGAGTGCAATGGCGCGATCTCGGCTCACCGCAACCTCCGCCTCCTGGGTTCAGGCAATTCTCTTGCCTCAGCTTCCCGAGCA